CTGTTCACAAATGCTCTCCATCCAACCTCACTGAGCTCGAGCTGTTTTGCAAGGAGGAATGGGCAAAATTTAAGTCTCTTGATGTGCAAAACTGATAGAGACATACCCCAAGTGACTTACAGCTGTAATCGCAGCAAAAGGTGGCGCTACAAAGTATTAACTTAAGGGGGCTGAATAATTTTGCACGCCCAATTTTTCAGTTTTTTATTTGTTAAAAAAGTTTGAAATATCCAATAAATTTCGTTCCACTTCATGATTGTGTCCCACTTGTTGTTGATTCTTCACAAAAAATTACAGTTTTATATCTTTATGTTTGAAGCCTGAAATGTGGCAAAAGGTCGCAAAGTTCAAGGGGGCCGAATACTTTCGCAAGGCACTGTATACAGTATATAATAGTTAAAAGATGTTTGTCTTCGCTCCTGAAAGCTCTAGTCTGCACTTTTTACAAAAGGCTAATGTAAATTGTTTAGAGGATGTTTGTGTGCTGAAAGTGAGAACATCCTAAGTTCACTTCCCTATTTGGGAGTAACGTACTGGGTCATTGACCTGGAGTTCATGTTCTGGTCAGCTTACTTAAGAAAACACTTCCTCGAAAAAAGGAACTGAAACATTGACGGGAAACCAAGAATTTGGCATAAACAGCAGGATGAAGTAATGGAGAAAGAGACATAGATAAGAACTGGTGTTAGGCTTGCGAGTGGGCAAGGAGCAAGCAGAAGAGCAAACAGAGAGGGGAATAGTCTTCATCTCTCTTCCTGGCTTCCTTCAATGCATGAACTGTCTCTGCAGAAGAAGAAAAGGTGATTCTATCCCCAGCTTATTATTAAAATTTTCAACAATAAATGTTCATTAGAACTACAGTGATTTGTCTGTGATTTCATTTTTTGCCACCGACAGACTTATTCCACTACATCAACATTTGCCTGGTTGAACTGTTCACAGCGGGGGTGAAGGGAGTCTCATCATTTGTCCTGTTACAACAGTTAACAGTTGTCTCAAAGTGTTTTAGATGGGTTTTCAGTTTTTGTCAGCTAAGCCTCACTCAGCGTTTTCATTTGGGGATACGGGCAGCACTTCTGCAATTCTGCATTGCTAGTGATGTGCTAACTACCTGACTAAAGTCACACTCAACTCCTACAGTGCTATGAATAATGTGAGTCCTGGTCATATGCAGAGCGCTCAGTGGAGCAGAGCTAAAAGGCTGACATTTTTCAAGTCCACTACCCAGGGAATTGCCACTTATCAAAAGTTTACCGTCTGCACCTGTGAGCGTGCACTGTAAGAGATGATCGCCCCAAACTCTTATTACAGCTGTCATCAGGAACTCTCCAAACCTGGATCACTTTCTGTGCAAAACTCTCTTTTTTATTTCCTTCAATTCCCCTATTTTTTTCGTCAACTCGGCAGGTCTGGGGGTTTGATTTATGGAGCTAAGAGAAAAATGCCATGAGGTTGGAATGCTAAAGGAAGAGGGACTATTGCCTCTGTGTTGTAAAATGCATGGCATGAGATTCAGCAGCTCCTTCCTCAATCACTGCAGATGTGTGTTTTGCATGCACAAAAGCAAAAGTGGACAAAAGATAAAAATGGCTGTGAAACTGTGAGAAAGGAGGAGGAGAGCCTGACTGACAAACCTAAAAGAATGTGTTGGAATGGGGTTTGTTTGTGATCAGACCTCTATCTCCGCTTCTGCTGTGACCAACTTTGGAACATTGATGAGACATGCAAGAACTCCATGGATCAGGCAAAGAAGTACTGTATGTTGCTAGTTGAGTGGACTGTGTTGGTGATTTATAAGCTTTAGCACAAGCCATGAAAGGTGATGCTTGGGGGGGTCTTTGTAAGAGCTAAGCAGTCTGTGATCTATCACACCATTGATGCCCCATCAACGGTTTTCAGTGCATTGACCTGTGAGCTTGATACAAAAACATGGTTCAGATGAAATGGGCACTACAGCTGGTAAGTGTTTAACCCACAAATCTATTGTAGGTAATGGACATTTGGGTTTTCATTCATTTTACTTCATAATGACTGAAAAGTCAAAATGAGTGATCAGTCAGAAAGTAATCGAATTGCATATTACCAAGAATACAGCCATAACTGTTAACAAAGTGCACTTCATCTCATCCCATACATACTTCAGCCAGCTGTAAATTAATTCATTTGTATTACAATTATACACATAAATATCAGTTCATCAAAATCAATTTAGTGTGAAAAATAGATCTCAGACTATAATGTGTGACTTTGGGTTTTGCTAGTTAAAAATCAATTTAGCTAATATTACAGATGTGTTTAATCTATTATTAATAAATCTAGATATTGTCTTGGCTCAGTGCATGGCTAGACCATTTCTACAGTTCATTTGCTCACAGCACCCAAATGATCAAATGTACATTTACTATAGAAAACTGCAGGCTGACCTCAGCTCAGGAAATTATCTATAGAATATCCGGTACTGGTGTACAATATTTACAGAAAAGGAGTGGCCAGTAAAACACTGGACCAGCAGTTCTGCACTTGTGAGTACAGCACTGCAGATTGGATACTGAATAGAGCGCAGTGTCTGCATCACCTTTTCCACCTCCCTCTGTAGGAGTCTTATCAGTCCTTCACACATTATTTATGATTCCTGATCTTCTCTCAATATGAATAAAACCACTTGTCTTGAATAATGTGTTCAGATATTGGGTAGAATGCATGATGAATATAAAAAAAAGGCTTTCACTCGTATTTCTGAGTCTGACTTTTCAGCTTTTGGTTGATGTTCCACCACAGGTTAGAGCAGAAGATACAAACCAACTGAAGCACATCCTCATGTATTAGATAAATTCTGAACCTGAAGGAAAGTGATTTTGCATAAAAGACAGATGCAGGGGAAAATGGAAATGAAGAAAACAAAAAAAAGGAGTTGCTAATGCAGACACAGCTTCAGGTCTGGCTCACAAACCTTGAATTTCAAGCACTTCAGCACTGTTGAACACAAATACATGTGTGTGGGTGTGGGTGTCTATAGAGCCCCTCACAAATTAACCAATACTGTGGTTTCAATCATGTCAACAGAGTGAAGAAAGCAAAATAAAAAGAACAATGGAAAAGAAAATAACCTTTGCAAAAGGCATTTCCATTATTGGGAAGTAATTATGCAGGCAATCAATCAGTAATAAATGCACACTCAGGACCAGTGCATCTCAATTAATCCCTGTGAAACAGAACAGGTTGTTTCTCAACTGGGAAAGAAAAGTAGTTATAGGTAATGCATTTGTAACAAAGCTGCAATTAATGGTGCTTTATTTGTGAGATATGGCAACAGAGTTGAGTTCTTAATGTCAAGTAACAACAATCACAAGAACATATGTTGTGAAATCAATAGGTCACAGCTACCTGTAAGCAGAAGAAATGGCAAGCATATGCTTTAGGTTTGGTTGCTCTTTAATGGGAGAAATACTTAGATGAACAAGAGGTGTTGTGTTGAGTGTTTTTAGCATTTCCAAAAGCTGCATCAACTGTTTGTTTGAAACACATGGAGGAAGAAGTGGGTGGACAGCATGTGCTCTGACAGCCCCCATAGCCAAACTACTTCAGTTTTATTTTCTTTTAGTATTTTTATTACTATATGTATTAGTTTACACACACACACACACACACACACACACACACACACACACACACACAATGCACATCCCTTTGTTTCCTAAATATCCCCAAGTCAGTGCCAGTGTTTTCTTGTGATCTGTTCTGTTTCCCATTTTCATGAAGTGCTTGATTAGCTACTGTATGTGCACTTTCCACTACTGTGACATTCACTGAGCATGTACACTAATGAAGGAATCAGCCTTAAATCACTGTTTCTTTTCTGCATTACAAAAGAATAAAGAATCAGCTAAAGTAAACTTCAAAACACTTTTCTCTGAGTTGAACAGACAGAAAAGGTAATCACTTACAGATTGTGTCCTAATCAAAAAGTCTCCAACCAGGGGTTAATGTGATCATACAGATGGCCAACCAGTCTACTAGTCTTCCAATTATTAAACATTTTAAACATAAATGTGACTAAATGCTGAGTACTTTCATGTAAATATTACAGAACATGTAAACACAGAATGAAGTGCATGTCCCTAATTGTACAGATCCAACTTTTGTCCTGATTATGAAAGCCCAACTCACAATATCTGCAGAGAGCAAGTAGAAGATGGTACCACAATGAAAAACTTATTTATCTCCAACTATGCTGCCACAACAAGTGCGAAATTTTAATAGTAAATCTAGTCTGAAAGGTATGGTGTTTCTTCCACACAGAAACCTGATTTATTACTATTTTAAGGAGTATGCAGCATTAATGAATTTGTTGGTGAAACCAAAGTGTGATATACCATAAGCATGAGCTGACGCCATCTAGCGGTTGTCCTAACCGATCACCTTTTGGACTCAGAGAAAGAGAGGGAGAGGAGTGGGGTGGGGGTGGGAGAACCTTGATTGCGAATTACGGCGGTAGACTGTGTGACACATGAACTAACAAGATGGCAAAACAGCTCCCTGTTAAATGGGCTCAAGTCCAAATGGCCTCCATCTGAAACTCTGATTTGCACACAACTGGGGGAGTGCGACTAATCCAATCTAATTTCTGGACACATAAATGGTCGGTGATTCATTGAAAAATCAGGAGAGTCTGTGAAACTGTGGAGCTATACCTCCTTGCATTTCTAATTTCATTAAAGACACAGACAGTGGTATGGCTGCGCTTCCGCAACGGCGGAGTGCGCCGACTGCTCGGGGCTTTTTCGCAAGGGAGTCGTGTACCGAGAAAACTGACGTCAGATGAATGTGTGAATGACTTTACCGCGTGCTGTCATGACACAGGCGATTGGAGCTGCCAGCTCTCACAAAACGAGCACTGAAATCCTCAGCAAACAATTAACCCCGAGTGACTGCAACTGACTGACTGACTGTATATTTTAAACTTTAATGAACGCTCGGCTTATCCAAAGTCATTGCGAATTCATGATTTAGTTCTGAGGGGGGAGAGCGACGCTGCATCCCTCTGACAGAGTCCACTTGTGCCAAGAGTCAGGGAGTCTTTGAAAGCCACCGGAGCGGACCCGACCGGCATATCAATCACAGTGACTCGCTGGGTTTGTACCGCCGATAAAAGAGATTGTTTTAAAGGTGTGCGCGAGTGTGTGTGTCTGTGGTGTGTGCGTGCGTGTGCGTCGGTCTGTGTGTGGAGGAAACAGAGAGGGGAAATGGCACCTTTTCTGTATGAAGAAGGGATTACAGCAACAGACACTGGCAAACAAATGTAAAACCCAGTCCTCTTCGTCTTACCACGGGTGCGCACCAGAGAAGAGGCGCAGGATCATTGATTCGCACCTTGTGGTTTTGCGCTGCGTATGTGACAAGAGCAGAGAGGAAGCCGTGAACGGTGGGATTAAGGAGTCCTTCTCCTGAACAGAAGACTCAAGTTGTTCAATCATGAACGCCGGGTTACTGTTTTTGCTTGTCTGTCCTGCGGCATTTTTCGTTGGGCTGCAGTGCACCTCGCCAGTGTCCACAGAAGGGATGGAGCTCCTCACCGCCAGCTTCAGCAGCA